TTTGTTTCACGACTGAGTCCCTTCAAAGGGAAAGCACCATAAACCACTTTCCCCAGCTTCCAGAGCCTCAAGAAATATTAAATGCATCCCAGTATGGGAATTTATTATTATGTGCCTGAGCTGCCAATTAGTGTCTCATGGGGGCAAGAGGATCTTGCTTAGCCCTAGAAAAGGATTTCATTTTCAAAAATCTAAATGTTGAATGGAACTTTTGCAGGGCCCATACTGCAAAGTCCCTGGCAGTGACAGTCCCTTTTTAAGGTCCCTGGCAATGAGGGAGGTCAGGGTAGTTCCCTCTTACTGGACTTTTCCCTTTGGTCCTTTAGTCCAGTATATACAGTAGTTTTGTTTAATGCTGCATTCACACTGAGCTGAGCGTTTATCAAGCATTGTTTCAAGCATTTTTTTAAGGTGTGTTTGAGCTTTTTTTTAGCATATTTGCAATATTATAGGTGTTTTTTCAGGCATTTTTCATTTAGGAGTTTTTGCTGTGGCCAATAGAAATACTGTAGCTGCTGTCTGAGCTGAAAACGCCTGAAAAAAAATCTTGAAAAAAGGCTTATTCTCACTGTTCAGGCATTTTGCATTCAAGTTTATAGTGACAAAATGCTCAGATCTTTCTGAAAAGTAGCACAAGTACTTTTTTCAGCGACAGGCATTTTGCTACAGGCAACAAAACGCTAAAGTGTGAACAGGGGCCATTGGAAATTATGTGGTTTTACTTGAGCTTTTTTAAACGTTGAGCTTTGAGCTGAAAAATACTCAAGTGTGAATGGGGTTTAACCATATAAATACTAATCATGACTTGTTTGTTTTCTGCTAAAAAAATTAAGAAGTAATTTTTAAAAAGTAAGAAATTAAAATGTAACAATTTTTTAAAACATTTTTATCAGGACTACACCCTCAATTAAATCTTTGTGCTACTGGGAGACTTAGGTCCCTTTTGCACTCATGTGGTGCAGTCAAACTGCACCAAGGATGTAACGCAGTGCAAGTGGGCATTTGGTGCAGGTTAGCTGCGCATTCTCATAGAGTTCTATTATGCCCAGTGGTTTTTCATGCACTTTCATAAAGCACACCAAAACCACGGAACATAATAGAGCTCTATGTAAAAGCACAGCCAACCAGCACCAAACTGCGGGTACTCTGCATTACACCCGCAGTGCGGTCAAACCGCACCATGGATGTAATGAAGTGTACCTAGGGGTTTGGGGCGAGTTAGCTGTGCATTCTCATGCAGTTCTATTATGTCCAGTGGTTTTTCGTGCACTCTGAGAAAGCACAACAAAACAGCAGAACATAATAGAGCTCTATGTGAAACCACAGCTAAACAGCACCAAACTGCAGGTACTCTGCACTACACCCACAGTGCGGTCAAATCACAACACATCAGTGTGAAAGTGGCCTTAGGCTCAATTCACACAGACATTTAGCTATGCTGTGAATCCCAGTAGCAAAAATTGACTGATTTCTGTGGCTGGAATTGACAGCTGCATTCAGATAGCTGTGGCCACTGAACCCATACACAGCAATGATAGGCTGATGGTGGCCTAAGCTATTCGTGACTGTTCGCACAGCCAGCAATTACGCCACTGGATGCACTTAAGTCAAAAAGACAGCTACTTCATACAGCGCTATACACATACACAAAATACAAAATTACCCCCCCCCCCCCCCCCCCCCTTTGCATTTACTGGGCAATATCGCATCCGAACACAAACTATTCAAGTGAATGGGGCAGTACAGCTAGGCTCACAATAGCAGCATGTTATTGCCATTGAAAAAGCTGTAAAAAAAGACACTCATTCAGGTGGTGGTGGTATCACCTTCTGAACGCTTGTTAGCTGTCTCCTTGCAGCTCAGTGAAAAGTGGTCTATGGCGGATCACAAGTGTAAATGAGCCTTAATGGATCTCATTAGTCGCTCACTGATTGGTGTGATGCTGATTGAGTTGCCCTTTTAAATACACTTAATTTGTGCAGATATCTTTTGTTTTTGAGTTTAAATTTTACAGAGAAAAAAACAAGAACTGTGTGATGCCATAGATCAAATAACAAAGGAATGCAAACATCCATATTTTGCTATGTTTTATAGTACAGTAGCTTTAGCTTTGCTGCCTTTGCACCAAGCCACATAATAAATAATATAAGAGCATGACGAATAACTAGAAAAGATCAGAACAGGAAAATGGGCTGACTGATGACTGCATAATGAATGAACTCCACAGACGTGATGGCTGCAGGAAGAATTGACTTTGCATACGTTACTAATATACTGTAAAGATCTTATTTTCCCTTGGCAGAGCCTTATCAGAAATTTGCTTAGTGTAAATTGCCAACACTGTTCATTATATGTACATAGTGGAAAATGACTGTTATTAAAAGCACCATAAAATGCATTGTAGGTTATGTATACACCACACTGGGTTTTTCCATCAATTGTGATACTTAAAGATGGGATGAGGTATTATTCATTTGTTTGTTATTAACAATGATAACAGAAAGAAATAACAAAAAACATTTTGTCAAATGTGAATTTTGAAAAGAAAAGGAATGCTACTTTATAAAAATAGGTCTTTTTAAAGATGATTGCTGGCAAACAGCTCAATACACAGATACTATATAGAAGCCCTCTTACCCGCCAAAGGATTCATAGTACTGTCCATTCAGTTCTAGGATATACACAGCTCTGCCTTACTGCTAAATACAGAGCTGCAATAATTTGTGTCTTTTGCCTTCAGTTCAGTGTTAATTAAACCTCAAAAACACTTGGGTTTGTCAGTACAGGTTTCAATAATGATTGAAAGTCATTACTGAATTCCAATTAACATAGCTGGCGTATTTGCTAAGTGGAACTCTGATCCAAATGATGTAGTAGCTTCTGGGAGCCTTTTGAAATAACATACGCATGTATTTTTTATATAGGTTGCACAGGGCATGGGATCCACACCGAAACTCCAGGTAAACAGATAAATACACAATTAAATTGCATATATACTGTATGTACTGCTTACTTACAAAAAGATGTAGCCAATATATATATATATATATATATATATATAAATACAGAGAGCAATAACACAGCAAAGAGATAACAGAAAGAAGTTTAGGGAGGTAGAGTACTTGCCAAAAGTCCTGGGTTAAGCAGATTCCATTGTCCTGAGCAAAAGGGTGCCTTGTCTCCCAAAGTTGGTTCCGATGTTAAAAAGGGAGAATTCTTCAACTTAACTGCTCCAAGCATAACAGCCTTTTTCTAGGATATCAGCAGGGTGTCTCTTTACAGCAGAGAACCAATCGCCTCATTTGGGGAGGGGTGATGTAGGCGGGGGACTCAGACTAGAACCAAAATCCCTCCCAAGTTATACCATGGGCAATAACCTTCCCTAGGTACATGTAACATTCTATCCATGGGTAGATTAATATGCAGAATCATCTGCTGAACATCTAGATATTAAACATGGCATAGTTCACTATTTCAGCTAGAACTATATGGCTTTCTGCTCTCCTGTAGACTTCAACTAGGGGGTGTAAGATATCAGACGACTCACATTAAACTGAGCTATCCGAATATATGCTTGGTTTTTATGTAATTATTTCCTACCTTAAGATATAAAATTATATGGAAAAGTGGGTTTTAAATGTGAGGTCTGATTTATGGCTAGCTGGAATGTCTTTGAAGCACAGTGAAGGGCTGGTTTATGGTTTTATGGTTATCTCAGATTGAGAAGCTAACAGACACCCAAGCACCAGCTAATTTGGGTTTATAACCATGAAGCTCTCCAGCTGGGGCCTAAGGCCTTTTGAACTCAGCATACACACACAGACCACATTCCTAGGAGGGGGATTGGAGGGAGAGAGAGATACAAGATGGAGGGTCTTGAGCAAGATGGATGACTGCGTCCATCTCTGTACGTACGATTGCTGCAGTTGGGCCATGGATTCACCACCTCCCCGATTGCCCACTAAGCATTTTGCGCGGGCACGAGAACCCATTCATTTGAATGGACTCCCGTGCCTCGTGACACGCAGAGAAGTCCCTGCACTTATTCCGAAAATGCAGCCCACACGGGAACCTTGGTTTCCAGTACGGTTGTGTTTTCAAGTGCAGGCGGCATGCCATTAGAATGAATGGCACCTGCCCGCGGGTCTGCATTTCTCTATGCAGGTGATGCGACAGCACGGATTTTCATGTGGATCTGCAACGGCACCACCTGCAAAGATGTGAACCTAGCATTAAAGCTTACTATACAACCAGACGGTGCTGTTCACATACTGCAGCTGCAAACTACAAATGTAACTAGATGTGTCAGTTTGACAGGTGGCACTGCCTGTCAACTCTCTGATTCAAGTCAGAAAGGGATGCACCACAAACCGAGCCAAATGCTTGGTTCACAGTTGTGGCACATTAGTTATACTGAAAAATGACCAAAAATAGGCATTCAGAAGGTGGCAGGAACGCTTCCTGAATGCCTGACTGCAGCTGCTTAGCATCATTCTGAAAAGTGGTGTAACGCGAATCCGTTTTAGCTTAAGAAAGACAAATGTGAAATATACCTAGGAACCACTGAGATCAAAAGGACTGGAGGAAAAACAATTTAAACTATTAAACTGGAGATTATTTCAAATGCTGAGATTTATTGACACATTTGTATTGCTCTTTGTTCCCATTTGGAGGATATCTTTTTACTTCCAATCTACTTAACAAAAACAGTGATGGTAAATTTCCGCATTTTATGGGTATCAGACAGAGCAGGAAGTTTGAGGTAATCATCACAAATGTGGACACAAACAATAAAAACAGAATAAACTGAAAAATGGTTTTGTACCATTACAGTTTTATATGTGGAGGAAAGTTAGAGCCCCTGATTTGCATAATACAAGTCAGCAACTTAGAAAAAGCTGAAGCCACTAGGTCAAAACAACAACCAAGAAACTAGTATTTTCAGCAATGGAAGCCTTCCTACTCTCTCAACACAGATCTCCTTAAAGTGATACTAAACCCAGGACCCTGAATTCACTATATCTGGTCTCCCCGGACCCTGCATTCACTATATCTGGTCTCCCACAGTACACACAACATGGAAATGCAATTATTTTAGTAAATATAAACTGCCAAATACCTTTTCTCATCAGCAGTATATAACAGTATTGTGACTTCAGCAGAGCACTGTTTAAAGCTTGAAGGAGGAGTTTTCTTTCTGCTCTAGAAGGAAACCTCTGAAACTCTGTCTGAACAGTGCTGATTGGTCCTGTGCTGATCACATGCACCCTCACAAGCAAAAAAATAAAAACCTCTCTAGCAAAATACACCAAACTGAGCATGTGCATGTGACCACGGGTGCAGTCTGTATCAGGTGGTAATTTCAACAAGAGGAGGGGCAGAGAAGAAATAATCAAACAGCCTTTTTACACAATGCAGAGGATTAATGCCTTATGTTCCAAAATGAGTATAACAAGCATGCTTTACTGCATGTAAAGACTGATTTCACTGTTGTGGGTTTAGTAACATTTTAAACTTAGAAAAAAGTACCAAAAGATACAGTAGATTATAGAGGCAGATTGAACTGCTTTAGATATGCTTACTCCAAATTTGACCATTGGAGCAAAACTATTCTCAGTGGACAATATCCAGACTGGATATTGGATAGCAGGGACTATGATACTCCTCTATCCCTGCAAGTGGTCAAAACAATTATTACTTTTGCTGAACGTTAAAGCCTTCATTAATAGATGCAATTTTATGGCCAAAAATCACATTACCCTTTAATAGTTTAATAGTTGTCTAGTTTGGATATTAAATTAGGGTAGTATAATGTATAATGTACAGCCAATTAGATATTTTCTGTGTTATTCGGTCACATGGAAATGCATTGTGGGATGTGGCTAAAGGAGTGTCTATGCTGCCAGTATTATTAACAAGAAGTTAATTTTTATACATCAAGGGGCTACCGAAATATATTTAAACCTAAAATCAAAAATATAATATAGTGTTGCTTACTAGTCTTTAGATGTGGTGGCAGCATTCTTTTAAGACTTTTTTTACCTGGTGATCTTGCTAGTAACACACTCCCTGTCCTAGGATGACAACGCTTACTCACTCTACTGTATCTATGGAGGATCAGCAGTGCAACCCTAGGACTTGAAGTATGTTAGGACTAAAGAACATCTTCCCTGCTCCTCATCCCAGGAGGTTTTCTGTAGCTCAGAAAAATGAACTGATAACTGATGGGACAGGTAAAAGTCAGTACAGGCAGAGATCACATAACGTTATCAGCTCACAAGATTTCTGGCTTGATCAAGAGGTATCAAACAGATATAACAAATTACTGTCAATGCTATATTTAACAGACTAAAGCCGGCCATAGACAGTTCAAATCTTCCTGTCCCTGCTAAACCGGCTGAGACTTGAACAATCTATAGACAGGCTGATTGTACCCAATTTGATTGTCGTACAACTTGGGAACAACCAACATGTCAGTTTTTTCATGCGATTATTTTTTCTTAACAATGGTTTCATGCGATTATTGCCATTGTCTATGATGCTAGAAATAATCACTGTGTTCTCCCTACAGGGGATGGCTTGTCCCCCCCCCCCCCCCCCACCGGAAGAACACAATAGCTCTGCGAGGCGGATTCCCCCATCAACCCCAGTGTCAGAAATCGAGTGATTTTCTGTCCTGCAACTACAGACTGAAAATTGCACTGTCTATCACCTTCTTAAAAGGTAGTAAACAAGAGTAGTTTATTGTTAGGGTTTGCCTTAAAATGTCTTTCCTCCCTTAAAAGTTCTTTTTTTTAATGTCTTTTGTTACTACATATTCACTTTAAATATATTGATGGATTGTAGTATTGCATTTAACATTACATTTTAGTATACATATAGCATATTTTATAAATACAAAAAAAGATAACTATATTTTAATATATATTAGGATACATGCTTTGTTATTTTTTTTTATAAAATCTAACATAGAAAAATATACATTTAATGACATCATTTGCTATTTAATTCATCTTGCATGCCGGCACATAAAGCATAAGACCATGTGTGGGAAACTAAACTTGTATTAATTCATATTCATTAATACTAGTTTAGAATTTAATGCTTTTTATTTGTTCTCACAATCTGTCTCTAGTACAGTTCATGTGCCAGCATGATTAAAACAGTATTTCACTGCAGGAAGTCTTATTTAAACAAAGAAAGTGCAGACAGGATCAGCATCATTTATATTCGTGTTGTTTGCTGCCAATGTACTGGGGTTTGGGAATAGCTTGGATAGCCAAATTAAATCAACCGTTTTTGTTACTTTTCCTGAGTTTTTGGGTTACAGCTTTCAATTACTTTAATGCAGGTCATCCATTACCAAAATAAAGTGCTGCTAAATATCTTAAAGGACTTAAATATTTTTAGCATGAGCTGGTTGTGCAAAGGAAATGTCTGTTTAATATAATACTGTATGAAATATAAATAAAACATGCATACAAAGTGTAGAACTATTATAGTACGGAAGCTTCTAGCTGGCTGTTTACCAAAAGTCAAGGACAAATGTTCAACTGTACTAGTAAGAAAAGTAAAAAAACACAATAACTATGGTTCACTCAACCATTTCATCTCTGAAAGTCAGGCAAAATCCTATGGTCTGATAAACACACTGGACTTGTATGTTGGTCTGATAAACACACTGGGTTTTGTACTTGTGCCAAGATTCATAAAACTGAAACAGAAAACATTCGGGTATTCAGTACCATCTTTGTAAAACATCAAAATGAGATCACAAGTCCAAAAGCAAAGGGTTCTAATCACAGATCACTGATATTGAGGCCTGGTAGGTTCAAAAAGACTCATACCCCCACCTGGAGATTTAGGAACATAGGTGATCCCTTATTTTAGGAGAACTGACTTCTTCATGTTAAAGTATAAGTTCACCTTTGGGAACATGTTACATGTTCCACCCATTTTTAGGGTTGAACATGTAACATGTTTCCACTGCTGCCCAATAACCCTCTCCCTGTGGCAGCAGTACATGGTCTTAAAGTGTTACTAAACCCAGGACCCTGCATTCACTATATCTGGTTTCCCACAGTACACAGAAAATGAAAATGCAATTATTTTAGTAAATATAAACTAAATACCTCCTCAGCAGTTAGAGTAGTCTTTTGATTTCTATCAATGTTTAGCAAAGCACTGGTTAAAGCTTGTAGGAGGAGTTTTCTTTCTGCTCTAGGAGGATGCAGAACCCCTGACCTCTGTCTGGACGGTGCTGATTGACCGTGTGCTGATCACATGCTCTCTCCGAAGAAGAAGAAGAAAAAAAAAACCTCTCTAGCAATACACAACAAACTGAGCATGTGCAGTGACTCCGCATGATATGTCTTCTCAGGAGATAAAAGGGGGTATTGGTAAGAAGGGGAGGATAAGAGAAGTCAGGATCAAACAGCACTGTTACACAATGAAGAGGATTACCCCTTAGATTCCATACTGAGTATATAAAAGCATGCTTTACTGCATATACAGACTGATTTTATTGTTGTGGGTTTAGTAACACTTTAATTGAACAGAAATACATACTATGGGAAAATACAAGCAATAAATGATTTGGGTTTTGTTGCTAAGCAAAGGACATTTTTAGAAGTGAATGATAAGCTAACGTCAACCAGCAGATACTGTCACTAACATTATAAACCATCTGAAATCTAGACTTTTGGCTAAAGAATTCAAGGTTGTGCTCTATGAGACCCTGATCAAGCTGGTACTTAAATATGGAGCTGAGAACTTGCTATTTTTACAAGATGAAGTGTGGCTCGGGAAATTTTGAAGAAAAGTCCTGTGAAAAATGTCTTCAGCCTTTTTTAAAAGATAAAGGTAGTAACTTTTTATACATGAATTTCATTAAGGAGGCAGGTTATGTCTATATACTAACATATCAAAAACGTAAATTGACCCAGCTAGCAGTACTCTTTAAATGTGAGTGAGTTTGTTTACATGAATTTTTAATAAATTTGTCACTTTGAACGCACTATGATGGTCTGTATGTTTTACCTCTGATTTTCCATCGGTGGATTTGGGGGAAATCCTTTGTGGTGTGAACGAATCTGGAGGAGAGTGTATTTTTTAGAAAAATAAATCACATATGCTGATAGCCATTACAAAAACAAGCGCATAAGACCTATTGCTCATAGGTCAAAGTGGGAGGTGAGCTGCTAATTATTATTATACAGGATTTATATAGTGCCAACAGTTTGCTCAGCGCTTTACAATATAAAGGGAGACAATACAGCAACAATACAGTTCAATACAAGAAGGTTAGGAGAGCCCTGCTCCTTGGAGCTTACAATCTAAGAGGGAGGGGCTGGTAGTACAAAAGGTAATAACTGTGGGGGATGAACTGATAGGAGGAGGTGATGGGATGTGTGACACATGGTGTAAACATTATAGGGAGGATTAGGTGATCAAGCACTGGAAGCGCAATTTTTAAGTGGAGCACAACATGTGTACTTTCTCATATATTTTTTATTGATTTATATATTTATTTTACATTGGTATTACAAGTGGTATATTCCTATGTGTGTGATACTGTATATGCTGTATACTTATTAAGGAGGAATTAAGGGATCAAGCACTTGGGGTGTAGTTTTTGGTGGAGCACGACACATGGACTTTCTTTCATATTTTATTTGCAACTACAAGTGGATTTTTCCTTATGTGTGTGATTTCTGTATTACTGAATGTTCATAATGAATTTTTGCATATACACAGTGAAAAACACACGTGCCGCGCTGGGTCAGTTTAAGTTTTCGATATTTTAGTACATTTTATAAAAGCTGTTTTTTTCTCTAAGGGCTCATTCACACAAGCAGCCGGGGTGCTAAAATAAGGAGGTCAAGCCTTGGTTTTACTGCCCCCTGACCACTCAACTGAACAAGGGCATCTAGCGCCTCAGAAGTGTATACATGCACTGTGGCAAGCATGAAACAGCATGCCGGTTTTTGGTGCTGGTACAAATATGACCAATTCAAATGAATAGGGACCATGCAACAACCGTATGGTGGTGTGCAGGGGCGGACTGACAACTCATGGGGCCCCCGGGCAATAGGGGATCATGGGGCCCCTGTGTCCTTGCCCAAACTCAAAAAACCCTATGAAAAAGGTACTGCCCGAGTCTCCAAATGGTCAGTCCGCCCCTGGTGGTGTGGTATTTTAAGGTTTAAAATAGATGGTGGGGAGGTGACACATATGCATATATGAACAAACCTTTAGAAAGCCGCAACAGAGTGCTGGTACAGCCATGTTTTCCCTGTCCCTGTCATTAAAGCGGAACTCCTGAAATTAGACAAAAGACCTGGGATGGGTGTAACACTTACTTTATTGCTGAGGTGCTGGATTAGGTGTAATACTTTATTCCTGGTTCAGGCAGTCTCCCTCTATCCATTTGACCATCCCAACGATGCTGCCTCTCTAGGGTATTTTGGGTCTCAGTCACAAGCTTGCCTCCTCATGCACAATGCAAGAGCAAAAGTTTTGCATTGTACGTGATGACGCCAAGGGCCTGTCTGCAGCTTGGAACTTCATGCAGAAGAAAAGAGCACTGGTACATGGGGTAAAACAAATGTTTTTCCTGCACCCCTAGACTAACCAAAATGTTAATTCTTGCAATGGAGGCTAACTTCAAGGGTAGAGTTTGTCTAATTCCCAAAGTTCAGCTTTAATATTTGAGCATTACCTAGGCAGTACTGTTGTTCATAATCTTTCAATATCCTGCATCATGTGATCCCCAACTTTAAAAAGGCATTTAAACCTCTAAAGCACAATTTGAATAATATATTTAAACACATTATTCAATTGCTGGTTATCACTGAGCATGGTTTTATATTATATTATTTGATATTATGTTTGCAAACAGTTCGTAAAAACTATTGAAATGCTTTAAGGAACCTTCTATGGCTGGGGGACCGGTGTGAGCTGTCTCCATAATACACTATGGTGAGCCTCTTTAGCACCTTTGTTTTCTATGTTAGACAGTCAATGTATACATTACAGGTGGATCTGGGACTCTATAGGGTTCCCTGCTATTTAAAAAGTATTTACACTTCTTTTGATGTCTGCAACTTATGATTACTTGTTATGCACTTAAGCTTTTTACAAAAGCCCCCACCAGGCTCTATCTACAGTATATATGTACATCTGCGCTACAAGACTTGTAAAATGTTATGTTCTTGACCGAATCATTTCTTTGTTTGTAAAATTGGAAAAATTCCACTAAAAGCTAAACTTTAAAAAATGGATATTTAAACTTGGCATCTGACTCCTGTCTTGTAATCCATGATACCGCTCAAAGCCTATAAGCTGATTTTGTAAGGGGGCTTCTACAAATGTGAGGCAATTCTGAGTTCCATTATAGAACATAAATGATTTACCCAGTTTATGGGAGACATCATAACTCTTCAAACATAAACTATTCCCCAAACATAAACAGTTTTCAATATTTTACGCTATGGCATTCTTAAAAACATATAATTAATGATTATATGATTTACTGTTGTGTTTTATCTTTCACCATTTGGTAGACTGAAACATCTGCTGGACTATTTATCTCATTTCCATCTAACAAGACCAGGTGTGGTTTTCTGCTATTCTGCTTTCCTTCACAAATTTTTACAATTTAATTCAACATGAGAAATGTGAATGTTTGATTTACATTAACTTCTTCAAATAAGCCACTCAGGAGAATTTGTTTTTATAGGCATTCATTACGACCCAACAACAAAGACTGATGCAGTAAACAACTAAGTGCTGCATAACTTTATGGACTTGCAAGCACATGTTTTTTTGCTTCTTTGCCTGATCAAAGAGGGATCAGTTGTAGTTCTCCGGTTTCATAAGCAAGGACTGTCATAATAATTCATAAGTCTACAACCTCATAAAGATAAAGGGCTCTTTACAAAATTGCCTAATGAATATGTCCCATTTTTCACAAGCAAATCAACTCCGTCATGCATCAAATTCATGAATTCCACCAATAGATCTTAATTTAGAAACTGTGCAATCGCTATTCCAAGAACAAATTTCCCTATACAAAAAGAGTAAGGCTAAATGCAATTAATGTCCTGTTTTAAAGCATTAGTTATGGTTGTGCCTCTCTCATAATAAATGCTCTATTATTATGCATTACATAAAGTGAACATGGGTACATCAAAAATCCACATTTATTTGCCATAATGGATAATGTAATCATCCAAACAGAAGGAATGCATAGTGTTTTGCATATATTTTCTTGATTTATTTTGTTCAGGGTTGTAAAATAACTATTTATAACTATTTTTATTTCCGTAGTCAGATCCATATAAAATATTGCAAATTAATTGTAGTTTTCAAGGAAATGCTAAGTACAAGTCAGCAAGCATGAGGCTTTCAGTAATGCTGTAAATATCCTGTCTAGCAGTATATCAGATTACACATTTTCACAGTTGAAAGAGTTATAGTAACTTTTTTTTTCAATAAAATAAAAAAGAAACTTATACTCACCTGCACTGTGCCCCTTGCCTCTTCTCGGGTGGTCCCCCACTGGTAGTGTCCACTCCTCCTCTTCTCTGAGTGCCCCCATAGCAAATTGTGTGATATGGGGGTACTTCTGCAGGTGCTTGTGTGTTCCTGAGCTGGACTGTGTGCATTCATAGACACACACAATGTGGCTTGGCCCTGATCCCTCCTCAGGATTTGACTGACAGCAGCAGGAGACAATGGCTCCAGCTGCCATAAGTGAAGCCTGTAAATGCAAGAAGAGAGGAGGCTGCTGGCGGGGTCAGGGCTGGATCAAGAGTGGTGTCAGGTAGATGTTTAGGGGCAGGGTGGGGGGATGAAATGTTATAGGAATATTTTTTATCTTAATACAGAGAATGCATTAAGGTAAAAAATGTGTTTTCTTTATAACCACTTTAAAGGAAGGATCCTCTCCCTTCCCTTCCTACTAACAGTGACACCAACAGGAGGAATTCCTCTGCTCTCCATTTTTTTAAGGGTATTACTTTGGGGATTTCATGCTAGCAGTGGCACCATTGTATGTTTTTTATGTCAGAACAGTCGCTAAATGGTTAGCACTTCTGCCTGGCAGTACTAGGGTTGTTGGTTTGAATTACAACCATGGCACCACCTGCCTGGAGTTTGCATGTTCTCCCTGTGCCTGCATGGGTTTTCTCCGGGTACTTTGGTTTACTCCCACACTCCAAA